TAGTCGCGATCTCATGACAGAACACAGACTGGCTGAATGACACTTTCATTTAAGCTGAACATCTCACATGGAGATCGTTAAACTCCAGTTTACTTGTTTGTCGGTGTTTCCAGATCATCGTCGGTGCTTCTGCAATGAAGAATGAGCGCGTGCGCATGGTTGCCAGATTACAAAAAATAAGCAAAATACTGGGCAGAAAATGTATCCTTTTAACAGAGAAGCTCTGATTTGCAGATTTGAACTCTTGATATCTGGCAACCGCACACTTGAAAGCTTGTGTAGTAGAGGCGTGTACAGCAGTCCACAATACTATTTTGTCTGTTTTTTTTTTATAAAAATAAAATAAGATTTTGGTAAAGTTTTTATTTTTTAAAACACATTTTATCTTTTTCACTTTTATCATGTTGATATTGTCACAGTTATTTATATTGACCTTATTGTTATCTTGTTTTAGTCATCGGAAGAAAGCTCATCAATAAACATTTTTCATCGCAGTTTTTGTTAACAAAATTAACACTAAATTAAACTAAAATAATTATTGCTAATAAATGCAATAAATAATTACAAAGAAACAAGTAACACTGAATTAAACATAAAATTATGTAGAAAGACTGAAATAGTATTTTCTTGTAAAAAAAAAAGTACTCTTAATATCTTTGTTTTATGTAGAACTTTATAAACAACAAAAACAACTCTATAGTTTCCAAGGCAAAATTTTTAATTTGTATAATAATTTTTTTTTTTTTTTTAGTTTTTCATCTAATATTTATATTATAAATTTATATTATATTATTCTTTTTTTTTTAATAAAGAAAGTAGTTTTAGTTGACAGTAACATCACTGGCTATATGATTGCCAAAGTGTTCTGAGTGATTTTAGCACATTGCAAGGGTGTTCTGGGTGTGTCTCTCTATCCCGCATATAGACCAGCTTTTTCCCTTTTTGCCGCATACATCACTTCGCTGGCCTGCAGAAACAAAGACATTTCAACCCAGGCCTCTTATGGGTCATTAATGCTTTTAAATTACACCAAGTCTGATAACAGGAGTTCTGCAAACCTTTTAGATCATTCACTAGTGATCACAGCGGTAATCTGTTAAAAGGATCAATTAGGTTGATCAGATAATAACGCTACAGTGATGCTTCCTAGTCTTACAAAATGGGGCTAATCAAACACTTTCAAGAGACAGAGATTAAACATTGGCACTCACATGCACAGATGGGAATTTCCTCTGTTTGCTAAAGCAAGATAAAGGATGCTTCCACTGACATATGATTAGCCATTAACTTATCTACAGTATATTTAATGCTACTGTATAAGAGTCACATAAGGACACAGATAAGGGCTTCTTTAATTGTGTAATGATGTGTGTGTGTGTATATATATACGTCATCTACACGATTAAAGAAGCCCTTATGTGTGTCCTTATGTGACTCTTATACAGTAGCATTAATGATCTTTACTTAATATCCTAATGATTTTTGGCATAAAAGAAAAATCCATCATTTTCACCCATACAATGTTTTTTGGGCTATTGCTACAAATATACCCAATACCCATATATGATTTTACTGCAGCTATCTTAAGACAAATTGTTTTCATATCAGGAAAGGGAACTGTTTTCTGGCTCAGAACATTGCCTGACAGTCTGCGGGAGTGTTTTCCTCTAAGGTCATCTTGTACTTTTAAATCCAGTAGAACATCATAGTTCATTTGAAAACCGATAGAAGACCCATGGCATGATCAGTTAACACTTTACTCTGCAGAGTGGGAGAGAAGAGAGAAATGGTGCTATTTCCTATCATAGTCATCTCTTATAAACATGAAAAGAAGTATGTGCGGGAGTAGTATGTGTAGGATATTACAGGAATTCTCCTGAATGACACACAGCCATATGAGAACACATGAGTAGGTAGCCAATGCAACAGAGGCCATGAATCTATGGTCCAGCTTTAGTCTGGCTTGTAAAGAGGATTTCCTCCTATTTCCTCTAGTCTCTGTGGCTTTGTGTGGAAAGCTTGGCTCTCGGACTGAGTCATACTCGGGTGTGGTATAGTTTAACCATTAGTAACAGTTTTTTCCCTTTTTAAGAAAGGTTTAACAACTGAGAAACTGTAAACGGATAAATTTATTCAACCGAGTGTTATGTACGTTTTAGACACAACTTGATTAAAAATCATTTGATACACATTAGACAAGACACTATTGTACAGCAGTCTCTTCAGAAACAGACTGACAAAAACTGACAAATGGGACATATAATTGCGCTTTGAATGTTTGACTCAGCTAAATTTCAAGTAACTCTGAAGTTTGTCCAGCAATTTTGCAATGGTGTCTGGGTCAGTCGGCTCAGTGTTGAAACTCCACGAGCGAGGGACGAGGTGGCGACCTGTGGTGAATTTGACATGAGTGGAGCTATCCTGAGCTCATGTTTAAAACAGAGTGCTGTTTATAAGCAAGGGCTCCCCCATGAACAGATCTAGCTCTGTGCGTTATTCCTTCCACTTTGTCTGGTGTGACATTAATGTCTACTGGGAGGAACTTTGGACTAGCCTGCTGGTTTGGATCTGTTTGCTTCCTTATATAAGGCCTGATATTAGAAATGTGAAGTTAAAATGAGGTTAACACATTTGGTGTAAACACTTTGTGTAACTGTTTGCAAGATGGACATAAAAGATACTTTAAATCATGTGTTGCTAGTTTTTGATTAAAAAATCTCTAACTCAAGCCATATTGAGAGCCCATAGTATCATTGTGGTGGGATTTTAGAGTAAGCAACCACCTAGCAACACCTTAGCAACTACCCAAAACATGGGAACTGCATAGCGATATGCTAAAACGTCCCAGGTTACGTATGTAACCATGGTTCCCCGAGGGAACGAGACGCTGCGTCGGAAAACGCTAGGGGAACGCCTTCAGCGATACCAAGCTCTGAATCCCCGTCACACTTCGTCCCCCGCCGCTGACGTCTCGCCCATCGTTCGACTGATTACACATATGATTCAGAGCTTGGTATCGCTGAAGGCGTTCCCCTAGCGTTTTCCAACGCAGCTCGAGTTCCCGAAGGGGAACCAACCAGAGCATTAAATTTCTTCAGAAAATATGGTGGAAAGGTAGTTTATTTTTTTTAATGCTTTGGTGGTCTTCGGTAAGATCCAGGAAAAAAATAACTGACTGACCAGTGGTATGCAAATTAGATATTTTTGAATACTGTTCATAACAGTCCAACAGTGTTTTCATTTAAAGCTATTTGCTGCATTTGAATATTTCCGTTTGCCCTTTGGATTTCCGCCAAAATCTGCAGATATTTCCGGAACTTTCATAGACGTTGTTCAGCAATTTTTCTTATCGACTCTGTTCAGTACAGGGTTTTAAGTTCAGGAATTAGTGCATCAAGTGCATAATGGGAAGATACTGAAGTATTAACACCAGCATATTAATGGATAAGGTAATGCACCACCTTGAAAGCATGTACTTATTGCAATAGTGCCTATTGATTCAATGACAGATAAATGTTGAGACATGCTGGAATTTATTTTATAAGTGCAGTAGTAGTGCCTTCAGATATACTAATAATGTAGAAAGAATACTAAATTGAGTTGTTCCTTTTAATCCTGGTTTATCAACCCTGTGTCCTTGGGCTAATATTTTGTATGAGGTCAGTTATTTCCACTTGGATAGTCTGTTTGGTAGAGCTTGGCCTTGTTGAGTTGAAATGACAGAACTAAGTAGAGCACTCTCAAAATGGATTCAAACATGCCTAGACCCCTTTCGGCTTCAGAGGAAGGAACTGTGTGCAGTCTTGTATGCATCGTATTGTTGTGACATCCCCTTCCCAAAGCTGGCGGAAAATAAGGTCCATCCTCTGACAGAATGGAGGCTGTTCCTTCCAAAGCTCAATCTTTTCTTCTTGAGGGTAATTCAATGTGGCACATCAGAACTAAGGCCTAATTGTCTATACATTTGTCATAGCCTGGAGTGTCATGTAGATTTTTTTTTTTTAAGACAGGCCACCAGTGGCAGTCCTGGAAAACTTGGTTCCCCTGGTAAGATATTAATAAAGAATAAGAAAAAAAAAAACTTTTCCTTTTACACCAAAAGGTCTGACCAAATTTTGCTATGTAAATGGGTGATTTCTGCCACATTGTGCAACTTAATTCTAAAAGATTTGAAACAATATGATGCTTCAAGTCAAGTCCATTACAGACAGTTTAAGATTCATTTTGACAATGAACAGCAAACAATTTCCCCAAAGCTTCTAGAGAGTATCCTAAAGTCATTTAAGTCTGCCATGTAACAATTGAATACAAGTCTGACAGCATAATATTACTGGTGATCATATCCTTGCAGTGAAAACATTATTGGTTTTATGATAACAGAGCACTTTAGTGAACCAAAGAGGGCCAGTAGAGGAAGCATGCTGGCAGGCAACTGTTTAAAAAGACACTGTAATTTATCACAGGTCCCTCATACTGTAACACTTGTGCAGGGGAGCAGTATAGCATCTTTAGAGTGGGTGTGTTGGAGAGAGAAAGAGGAAAAGAGAGAGAGCCAGAAGAGTAGGGGGAGGAGGAGGGTGTGTGTGTAGTTGAATGAGCGTGGGGGAGCAAGGGGTGGGACCGTTTCTGTGTCTGTTATCTCTGTCATTCTGCTGCTGCACAGCAAAGCAGCGAGACACTCTGCTGAAGGGAGGAGAGAGAAAGAAAGAGAGAGAGAAAATGAGTGACTGGGTAGCACTAGAGCAGCTGCAACTGAGGCAGTCTAACTGCGAGGAGCCAGATGCTGGATTTACATGCTAAAGACACCAGACATACGGATTACCTCTTCAATACAGGATCTACTGACTGGTCTTTCTGTATGTGTTATTGGAGAGATAGTTTTCCCTGTGATAAGGATTTGGCAGCAAGCGACAGAGCTTGCAGACATTGCACCTTGTCTCTTCTTTTGCTCGATTGCAAAACCATTTGACTCACTGATGCTTTTGCATGGTTTCACGCAGGAGGAATGCTTGGGGGTAGCCCAAGAGGACAAGGAGTAGATCTGGAGACTGAAGCTGACAAAACGTCCAAAGCCAAGACCCCTCAGGGCCAGGCGGGAGCCAACGGAGTTGGGGGCATGGCTGCGAAAAGGGGCAAGTCAGGGCTCCCACAGGCTACTCCTCGGGCTGAGCTAAAGGTCTACCGAGCTGTAAACTCTGAGGGTCATCTTCCAGTGCCTAGTAACCTGCGCAAGCAAAAGTCCTTGACCAATCTATGTGTGCTTACGGACGCCGAGAAGAAGATGCACCTGTACCAGCCCAAGTGGTCGGATGACATGGAAAAACCAGGGGCAGGTCAGAACAAGTCAGGCAAGCTCAAAGATGCCGGAGGGGGTACAGGCAAGGGTATCCCACTTTCCAAGAACCTTTCCAAGTCAGAGCATTCACTGTTTCAGGGAAAGCCAAAACCCTTTAGCCCACCTTCCAAACTAGGCAAAGCCAGTCGGATACCTAAGGGTCCTTATGCTGAGGTCAAACCCATCAGCAAGGCTCAAGAGCTGGCAGATGACGGCAAGTCAGATGATGAGATCTTGTCCAGCAAGGCTAAAGCTAATGGTAAGAAAACTGTAAGTGGTACCTCAGGAGCAGCCACCCCAGGTGGGGGCAGAGGGGACAAAGATGCACCAGAACCAGAGGAAGGGGACAAGACCTTTCTAAAGGTGGACCCTGAACTGGTTGTAACAGTACTTGGGGACCTGGAGCAGCTTCTCTTCAGTCAGATGTTGGGTAAGTAATAACAAGATCCACTAATCCGCTTGCAATGCAGAAGAATGAGCAATGCTGCCTGGCTGACGGATCCAGCATCGCTTTCATAGCTCAACCCAGCCCTGCTCTGGCTTAGCAACCACATTGCTTTGTATGTCTTTTTCATCCTGTGCTGCTCACATAACTATGCACACTTTCTCTATTCATACATCTATTCTTGGCTTGATGCTGCATTTGCATGTTTATGATTATGATTGTTGCTTTATTTCAGTTGCTTTATTCTGCGTGGTTTTATTGAACAATCGCCGCATCCCTTTTTGTTTACATTGCAAGCTCGTGTCTTGCATCTGTGCACGTATTGGGTGAGACCAAACCAATCGGGGGGAAGGGGGGTATTTGCCTTACCATTGTAGCAGAGTTGACACACTGCCCTAATCTCCAGAATATGCAACTTTAGTTGTTTTGGATGGCTACAATTATTTACTTATATCTTTGTAGATATTTTGCTAATTCTACATCAGTGATAAGCCTCAGTTCAGCATGAATTATTGTAGATAATGTGAACAAGATCCCACTAGAAACAGTAAAATAAATGGCACTTGATGTCGTAGCGGGAACTTAAAAATAAACCTTGCTTGGTTGAAATGTTTTCAAGTCATGGTGGGCAACATATTTAGCCTTGCTGGTGGTGCCATTGATCTCTGGGGCAGTTGACAGATGGTCCCCCTCTCTTTTCCTCTCTCCCCTTCCCTCTTCCTCTTTCTGTTACCGGGGGACTTCAAAAGAGAATAATAGGGGTGTCACACTCTTTGAGAAGGTCAGTGACTCAGAATGAGACTGCAACGACACATGAACATAGTGCGTTTTGTTTTTATTTAAGAATGCATTAACAGTGCGGTGACTTATTAGTTATTTACCTTTGCGCTACGGGATTGGTCAGCTATGTTCCCTTGCTAGGTAGTCACATTGTACTTTAATGCATATTTAACATAGTAAGTGTTGATTTGAGCATGATTAGCTATTAGCAGTCTCTCAACAATCTGCCACTGAACAATAGCCTAGCTAGCAGTCCAGTGTATTGCTTTTTTAATGTTAGTGTGGCCAGAGAGATATGGTGTGAAGTGAATCCATCGAGTTGAGATATGAGAAAATGGAATTCAGGCTGTTAGCTATACTCATTTCCTCTCCTTCTCTGGAGCTTATGTTGACCTTTCCTCACAGCACCTGATGAGGGTTGGGGGTGGGTAGAATTGAAAAAAATAATTGTCTTGTGTTCTATGGATGATCTGGATTTGATATTCTTTTCAACCTTTTGACCGCTGTACATTACTGATGATTCCTTTAGCCTGCGGTGCCCATCGGGGTTAGCTGTGCAGGCAAAGGTTCAAAGCTTCCCTCCGGGGTTTGAAACACTGTGTTATGCATGTGTGACTGAATGCATTAGGGTTGCTTATCCCCTGCCTCTGCTTTTGACCCCACAGTACAAACTCAATTACACAAGACTCCATTCCTCCAATCAGTACTGTTGTGAAACTGGTTGTTGTGAGTGATTGTTCCATGAATATGAAGTACTGCCCAATACAAAATGCTTTTTCTTTCTGTTTTACTTTTGCTATTTTTACCGTTTGAGTGATAGATATAGCAGGAGATGGGACAGGAAATGATAGGTGGGGGGAACCAGTATAACTGGCATGTCAAGCCATCTCTTTATAATTATACAAATTAGGTCTCTACTTGGTAATAAGGAAACATTCTTCTTAAGAGCTTAGATACCTTTGGTATCAGACAGTGACAGTTGAGAGCCACCAGCAGAGGGTTGACAGAATCACTACTAAGATCAGATGGAAAACCCCAACATGTCTTCTAAATACTTAAGGAACTTGACAGATGCTTCTTATTTGTGTTGATAAGAGCTTTATCAAACCAAATATCCAACCGCATGCACCCAAACTCCTTTTAAATAAATCAAACCACAGCTTTTGGATTTGAGGATTAAATAATTAAGCCTAAATATAATGAAGATTTAAGCGGCACATTCAGTAATGTTTGTAGTTTAGTTAAAATAGTGCAGTAAGTGTTTCCATCCACCTATTTTTATGCGCATTTTGGGATATCGCATAAAAAGATGCTGAATGGGAAACGCCAAGATGTGGATAAATTCTAAAAATGTGCATAAAAACTTATGTGCTCAGCGAGAGCGTCACACCACGTGAAAGTGAAACCTGAGCGGTGAACTAATTTTCGGCAGCCGAAATTTCGGTGCATCTCTAATTATTGGCGACATCAGAAATGGATATTATATAATAGATGCTTTTTTGAACATTTTAGCAATTTAAAAATATTAAAAAAGGATTTTTTACACGGCACCCCTGCTCTCGACAGACGGCACCCCGGTTGGGAAACACTGCTCTATAGGACCAGCGACTAGTCGATATCAAGCTTAAAGCGTCATGGCAGAGCATTGAAGTCGACTAGTCGATTAGTCGGTGCAACCCCTAGTATACACTACTGGAACAGAAATAAAATGAGATCTTAAAAGAAAAAAAAAGAGAAAACTGGTGCTCAGTGACTTATTCTGCTGTTGAAGGGTGTGTCTCAGAGCTGAGAGCCTCCTTACCAGAGGCACTTTACTGCTATCTTCATCATCATCATTTCCATCTCCGTCTGGCTTGAGCTGGCTGGCTGGTGTGGGTTAGTGGTGCAGTAGATACGCTGGACATAATTTCTGCTGACAGCCGGATTCAGGATGAGGTTACTGTGCTTGTACTGATCTACAATAAATAAATAAATAAAAAATAAAAGGCAGAACGTGGTGATAATGATACAATAAGACAATAAATTGATCTCAAATTTACTGTAATACTGCAGTCAATATAATCCATTTCCTCTAGAATAAGGCATAATGACCTGGAAGCATTTTGTAAGTCATTGCACAGGATTTCCTCATTTCCTGTATTTGATATTGTTGGGTTATGCATGATAAATGTGTGTGTCCGCATTAAATTGCCTGTAGAATTGTGCACTGGGCAGTTAGAGAAATGATAATGTGCAGGAAATGGTTTTATAAATTCAAGCAGCCCCTTTTAACATAAACCATCACTAAAATGCAGTGGTTTTGCTGTGTATCTTATATTTTCCTGAGCTCAACAAGCCGGGAAATTGTCGCAAGGGTTAAAGTCAAACTGATTGACATCCCAGCATGCTGCAGGCCTTCTCTTCACAGCGTGCATGATTTCATTTCAACCAGGTCTGGTTGTGTAAGAGCAGATCTCAAGGGAAACCACACAAACACACAAGACATACATACAGCCATGCATACATCCGCATTTTGAATGTATAAAGTATATGTTATTTGCAGTGACCGGTCATCATTAGTTCTCTATTCCCAAACCTAGAGAACTGCCTGTGTAGGCAGGAGTTTAAGGCATCGTAGTCAAACGTCCAACACAAAATTTCCAAAAGGTAGGCAGCATAATTATACCTTCAAGATACTGTTTTAGTAAAATTATAATGTAACATTACATTTATACTTAAGGGAGAAGGCAATACTAACATTGCAACCAGCATTGCAATAAGCTCAGTATATACTGTGTACATACACATACCTGTAATTTAATCAAATCAAATAATAATGAAGACATATTTTAATTTCTATAACTAATTACAATAGTAAACTTTTACCCAAAATTTATACTATTTACTATGTATAAGGTATTAGCTTAGTCACATGGTAACAGCAACTGTACAATGTTCAGAATCTGTTGCTTATGAAGTTTCATTTCAGGATGCTCCCTTAGAAGACAGCTGTTTATATAGCGAGTGAACCACAAGGCAGCTCACTATTTGGAACAGCCAGTGAATCATAGATTGCATAATGAATAATGCAAAAAAAAAAGAAAATAGTATTGAATTTTATGCATTTATTGTTTATTGAAAGTGTTTACGCATTAGAATTAGTTATGTTTATGCTTTAATGTCTGTCCGCCAAAAATGAGAATCTGATGACTGAATGGCACATTATAGCAGAACACGTTGAAAACAGGAATAGAAAGAGGAACTACACATAAAGGTCAAGTTTTGGTTCGTCCACCTCTGTTAACATGGAAACACGCACAACCCAACTGTGCCTCCATTTGTGAGAACTGAGACCATGACTTGTGTGCTGTTTTGACGGCCAACAGATTCATAATGTGATTACTGTCATGACCAACATCTCCATGCCTCAGCATGCTAATGCAATCTAACCTAATCGAATTTCTGCATGTCTGCAAAACGGAGGAGCGGAAAGAACACGCTCATTTATGCAAGCATGCAACATGGAAATAATGTCAATTTATCTCTTAAAACATTCTTAAAACATTTTTTTTGTCTTAATGATTGCAGTTTCAGCCTGTTTAGCGAAGATCAAGTTTTAGTCATCAACAAACATGAGCTTGAAAGCAGCCCTATATTTAAGCATGTTGTAAAATAACTCTCAAAAGAGCAATACTTTCCAATATATTTCCATGTAACATAGTCAACTCTTGTATGCATGCACATATTTAGCCTGTTTTATGTCAGTTAAGCGAGAGCTGCTTTGTGGGTCTTCCTCAAATGTCCAGTTATTTTTCAAGTCAAGTGGTGGTTTATGCGCAGTAGCGGCACAGTTGTGTTTTTGAAGGCCTTTATTGTTTTGCGGTTGAGACGGCCTCTGCCGTTACAGCTTTTTTCAGTCGTTAGAAAACCCCACATAAACACTATTCCGTTTTCCTGTCATATATCCTGGATGTTGGCTGCTTAAAACACTCGTGGGGAAATGATTGTGCAAGCTTTTCTCATTTTTATGTGAGGACGTATCTTGGGTTTGCATGAAAATCAGCTCTTTTTCCCCAGCAGTCACTAGTGGTTACTAAAATTCTAATTGCTCTTGTATTACTGATAAGAAACAGGCAATGAAAATTGAGTTAAATATTTATGTGCTAAATGCCACTGTACTTGTTGATAATAGGCTTTTCTACTAAACTAGAGCATCCGATCATAAA